CAGCTATTAAAAAAGGACTCTTCAATGAAATGGGCTTTTTTCTCTTGTGTCATCATGCTGAGAGAAGCAGCATATACAGAGAAATCAATATGTTCCTTCCATATGAATTCAGATAATAAAGACTTGAACCATCAAAGGGGAGATTAAAGATGAAGTTCTTTAATAGTCCAACATCAAGGTTATACATTTTAAAATCTTGATAAAATGTCTAAAATAGGATACACATAGAAAGGGGCAGGACAACAGGGCAGTTTATTGAAATAAGAGACAGGATAACCCAGGTACTATTTTCACAGTGCCTGAAGAAATAGTGATTAAGATTTTCGAACAAGGGCTAGGGTTGTGGCTCAGTGGTAAAGCACTTGCCTGGCATGTGTGAGGTACCACATATAAATAAATGAATAATAAAAAAAGGCCCATCAACAACTAGAAAATACCTATTAAAAAGAACCTGTGAATGACCTGAATATCATAGTAGATGGATATGTATCACTGGGCAGGCTAATCCTCTAATATCTAACATGTTACAGGAAAAGTATTAGTAAACTAATAAACCTTTTCTTTTTAAAAATATATTTTATTTCTTCTAGTCATCCACTTTGTGTTTCTGTGATGGATTTAAAAGAGGGAAGTTTGAACTGATAAAATAGGCAACTAAAAATTTATCTTTATCTAATAAATTGTCAAATGCTGATTTAATACATATTTTGACATAAATGTGTGCTAAACTGTTTCTTTTTACTTTACATATTACGTAAGATAATTTACACTGTTTCTTCTAAAATAGAATTTACATAATTTTTTTCTTTATATAGATGGAAACACATACTTAAGCCTGAAAGCTTTTACAAGTGATGGTTGTTCATAAACCAACTCTGGGGTTTTATGTTTTATGTAGTCTTAAAAATCAACATTTTTTTTTGCTTCCAAAAGCTGTATTTCTTCTTAAAAATTATTATACTGACATCATCAGTGCTAAAAAAGAGATTATCGGTGTAAAAGTAAAGTTGATCAAGATCGTCTACTTGGGGCCACCTATCATCACCCACTATGATCCAGTTTATAAGTTACTGACCAATGGTTCAGTGCTTTGAAGAAGATCCTCTGTTTGGGAGAGATACGTTCATTTCCTGTGACTTTTGGAACACAAATTTAATGGATTAAAATAACAGATTTATTCCTTTGTAGTTCTAGAAGCCCAGAAGCCCAAACCTGTTTCACTAGGTTAAAGTTAAAATACTAGCAGAACTAACCAGCTGGAGCCTCTCAAGGGAGATCTGTTTCCTTCCTGTTTCCTGTTTATAGAGCTTGCCTTTCTTGGCTCATGGTCCCTCCCTCCATCTTCAAAGCCAGAAACTTAGCATCTTCCATTTCTGCTCTGGCCATATCACCTGCCTCTTTGTAGTGAAATTGCCCTTGTCCTCTCTTGTTAGAGTCTGTAAACAGGTCAGGATTGCGCCTGGCATTTTGCCAGGGGGAGTGGTTTGTGAAGTAAGGCCAAAGAGCCATTAAGTGTGGAGATTCCTTATTGGTTGACTGCTGTATCTATTTTATGTTAATTAGATAAACTGTGTGGAATATATATACCCCTCGGGTCCTACAATAAACGGCTCCTACTCCTGCTGTATCTATGTACACAAGTTGTTCGTCACCCCCCGGTTATTTTGCTGCAGCCGGACTCCGGCACTCTCTCTTATGAGGACTCTTGTGATTACACAGGGCACACATGAATAATCCAAAATAATCTGTCCATCCTGAGATCCTTGGCATCGCTACAGCTGCAAGTCCACTTTGGCATACAAGTACCGTTCACAGGATTCAGGGACTGGGATGTGGCCATATTTTAGGAGGCTGATATCCACCCTACAGCAGGCTGGGGGTGGGATGGGGATGGGTGAAGGCTGGAAAAGCTCTTATGTGATGCTCTCAGATAGTAATAACATTTATATATTAATGCTCACCATGTGCCTGGCAGGCACCATCCTGAACCCTTTACACAGATCAGCTCATTTAATCTTTAGAATCCTGGAATCAGAACCAGTGCTTATTGGTACACGTTGATGGGTCTGTGTAAGTAGTTCTCAGCATGACCAACAGGTCATTGCCCACACCCAAAGCCACTTGACCAGAAAGCGGCAGAACCAGAATTTATGTCTGGACTCTGGCTCTAATGTCTGCAACATTAAGTATTTTTGCTCTCCTACAGTTCTTGACCCTCATCATTTAAGAAACAACAGATACAAAGAAATGTTGACAGGTGATGATTTCATCTGAAGGCACCGAGAACCCTGGACCTTACAAGTTTGAAAGGGTTTGATAGTTTGTTATTACTCATCTCACTCCATAGTTGAAGAAACCAAGTTCTTTTTTTTTTTTTTTTTTTTCGGATTTGAACTCAGGGGCACTAAACCACTGATCCACATCCCCGGCCGTATTTTGTATAATATTTAGAGACAAAATCTCACTAAGTTGTTTAGGGCCATACTAAGTTGCTGAGGCTGGCTTTGAACTTGCAATCCTGCCTCAGCCTCCCAAGCCACTGGGATTATAGGCATGTGCCACTGCACCAGGCCTCAAGGTCTGTTTTGAAATTAAGAAATAAATTGAGAGATTTGCTAAAGGTTACACAACTGGGACAGCAAAGCCATTTGGGGACATGTTCCTCTAAAATTCATATCTTAAAGCCCCAACCCTCTGTACTTCAGAAGACAATTGTGTTTGGAGACAATCCCTTTAAAAAGGTAACTGAGGTTAAATGAGTCCTATAGGTTGGGGCACCTGTAATCTGTTAAGGCTGGTGTCCTATAAAATTTTAAAAAAAGACAAGAGGGGTGTGCATGCACAGAGAAAAGGCCACATGAGGACAGTGACAAGGCAGCTATCTGCAAGGCAAAGAGAGAGGTCCCAGGAGAAACAAATCTTAATGACACCTGGATCTTGGACTTCTGGCCTCCAGAAGTGTGAAAAAATAAATTTCTATTGTTTAATCCATTCAATCTGTGAAATTTTATTATTGTAGCTCTGGAAAACTAATACACCCCAGGTCAGCTATGGGCCTGAGAAACTGTTTAGGCTGAAGGCAGCTAGTCCATGATCCAAATTGCTGGAACTTTTCACAGCAAAAAGTAAAATTTCTAAGTAATTTTCAGTATTCATAAAAGCCCCAAGGAAATGTACAAAATTGGAGCTAATAAAAATTCCAGGTTTCAATGCTTTTGGATGGAATAATACCAAATCAAAATGGTATCATGAATTATCTCAAACTGGCCTGAAATTTAATTAGGAACATATGGTTTTAGTTAATTTAAAATTTAGAAATTATATATCACTTAAGAAAGGTGACTCATGTGATAAACAAAAAACTCAGGTTTTTTGATGAGGAGAAGGCTGAGCAAGAACCACTGCTTGAAGCCCTCAATTCCTTTTTTGGATCCTCTAAGAACCATGCTGCTTAATCCTCTTTACATTTCTAGAACTCTTTTGGGGACAAACTGAGCAAATTATGTGGCTTTAGTCATCTGTCACAACAGGGGTGTTGAAAGCCGTTGTTTTCAAATCTGGGAGCATCACTAATATTTGCTGGATGCAGTTTGATTATTTTCTTGAGAGTCAATGAAATGATCTCAAAATAACAATAAATGGGAAAAAAACCCTCATAAAACAGGTGGCTGGACTTTGCTCTTTAACCTAACAGAAGCAAAATTAAAGCCCCAGGGCACCCAGTGCCTGTACTAGGGCATCCAGTGCCCTCAACAGAATGCATCTGAAAGTTAGGGAAACAATACCTTAAGCAGAAATGTACATTTTATTTAAAAACAATAGCAAAGGTATGAAGAACACCGACTTCTATGAAGAACAGAAGTTTATTAAATGCTTTATAGTAAAATATTGAGCCCACTCTACCACAATACACAGGCTTGATGTTCTAATAATTAGCACAGTGCCTCAACTGAGGAAAGCTCATGATGCAAACATAGGTGGAACTATGGGGAGCTACACACACAAATGTACCATCCTTCTGCTCTTTCACACCTGCAACACTGATGCTCTGAAATGGTTAGGCCTTGAGGAAAACTTGTAAAATTTCCTGAGTATTCCATTAAACAATTCTTAAAATTGTTACTTTAATGGAAAACATGAAATTTTTTCTGATGGAGGCATCCATTTTAGCGTTTAGCGTCTTCAATAACAGAACTACAACCCTAAGAATTTATTACACCATGAGAATGTCTTTGGAGTTAGCATAAGGCTTTCCAGCACAAGGAAAATTTCAAGGCAATTTATCAAGGACTAAATTTTCTTGAACTACCAACCTGGTGGTACATGAATGAAGATAAAAAGAAATATCAAGTTTAGTTGACTATTTTCCAAATAATATGATCTAAAAAATATTGGGGGAAAATAAGGACGTGGGGGTGGGTGTATATTGGATGGTAACAGATGGCTAGAAAAAGGGACTAAGGCTACCTAGCATTAACTAGTATAAAAGGTATCCTCACTTATTAGCCAATATTTTCTTCCAGTATATAATTACTTCAAGATAGCATTTCTACAAACTACATTGGTTCATTCATTTTTCAAGTCAGTTTTCAAAGAAATTTTGATTCTGAATATCTAAAGTTACAGCTGATAGCTTTTTGACATTTATCTCTCAAGTATATATAGCATTCTCAGCCATGACTCTTAAATACATCAATTCTTGATAATATATCACTAAAACAGAACTTATGTTTAAAACAATACTACCTACCTAGAGCTCAAAATAAGATTCATAGCCAACTTAACCAATTTGTAATATTGAGCTCACAAATTTGGCCAATTTGTATTATTTAGCTCACACAGAAACTAGATCCTTTGTCTTTGAAATGATTTAACCAATTCTATATAAAAGCAATTACTCAGAAAATCACATCCTAAGATTTGCACTCATACTCATTTGTAAATATATATTGTGGAGCCTGATTTGGTACTTTTGGTCCACACTTTGGTACCCTATGTTTTCCCTACTAGACGCTTTATTCTATGACTATGACAATCAATGAATGAACTTAAAAGTAAAGCAAAGTTTTAATTTTGATGCAAGTATTTCGTATTCACACCAATAAATGCTATCATGCTTTTGAAAGAATGGAGAAATCAAAATCACATGTGCTAATCTAGAGTACTACAGTCTTAAGTAACCCAAACACACAACCATCTCCATTACAGAATTAAGCAGCCAGTAATACACTACAAAACATTTGATTAAAAAAGCTTACAACCAATGCTTTAAGAGGGAAACACTGGTGAAAATAGTTTTAAAATATATACCCTTGGAAAATGATATTTTTAAACTTTAAAACCTTGTTTCAGAAGTTCCTCGTTTTAGGTTGTTACTCAAAAACTCATCATGTTCAAAACTCAAGTTATTGTGAGATCTCGAAATCATAAGAAGCTTCTCCTTATTGGTAAAGTCTTTTTTGATTGCAGCTTGGGGCACCAGCAACCTATCCATGGGGTCCTCTTTGTTCTCTAGTTTCATATATCCCTTGCTGTTGCTTCGATCCAACCGAGGCCAACTTGGATGTTTCCTTTGCTCTGCCTGAACAGTCAGAGTGGAGGGACCCCGGTCCAAGTCTAAGGATTTTGAGTGTGATGAGAGTAAATGTAAAGATGTGTTGGAGCCAAACTGTCTTCTAGCAGCCCCAGGAGACAAGAGCTGTCCAGCCCCAGGCCCAAGGGCCACAGAGGACTTGTACTGAGTGGACAAGGACTCCCCGATGGAATTATTCCTTGGAAGCAGTGTGCTGGCTGGCTGGAAGGATTCACCGGTGTTGGGCAAAGGGACCACAAGGGAATCCATTGACAAATTCCTTGACCTACTTTTGAGGTTATCAGCATCCTCAGTGATGTTGTCTATACTGGGCTCATCAATCACACAGTTATTAAGCTTGATCACAGGCAGTGTAAAAGCACTGATGGATGATGACACAATTGACTTGGTTTCACATTTCTTGGAACTGCTGCTCTTATCCTCCATTGTCTTGGATGGAGGTGGATAGAGGCCAAAGACAGAGACAGAGCTGTCTGAGAGCAAAGGGGGCATGAGATGTCCCAAACTCTTATTTTCACTTAGCATCGGTTCGTCCTCCTCCACGGAGCTGTCCATTCGAAAACTGCTGCGCAAACCTGAGAAAGAGGCAACTGCATTTGTCGCCAGTCTTGAGGGACAGGAGCTCCCGTTCTGTTTCACTTCTGATTCTCCCATTAAGCCAGAGTAAATGCCATTCATATGCTTTTGCTCCTTGATTCTCAGCGTGTGGATGTCAATGACTGTAGAGTAGATGTCCCTCATGTGTATGATTTTGGTTTCTTTGTCACGGTTTTCATGAAGAATGGCATTAGCACAGATGAAAATGAAAATGCCAATCCCCATGGTGAAGGGGCCAAGCATTTTCATTTTATCCGAATGCAGATGCTGCTCAAAGAAACGAACTACCACTCCGCCTTGGTTCCGAATCACCTGAGTCTCGTTGGTTGACAATGTTGTCTCAGCATCGATGAAATGTTCTTTTTGGGGCCAATATCCAAGAACGGCCATAGCAATTCCTATGATGGAGATAAGCACTCCTAAAATGAGGAAAAATCCAGATGGGGAATAAAGCCGGATCTTGCCACGAACAACCACGACATCGGCCCGCGGCCGCCGCCTGACTGGTTTCTGCTCCTGGGCAGCCGGCGATGGGCTGAGGTTGACATGCTGCTGTGATCTGGCAGAGTCTTGCCTTTTCAAGGCGGCCAGGCCTGTTATGACTCCGCCAGTGGCTATCATAGCTCAGCTTTTTACTCTGAAAAGAAAGCAAACACATGATGATCTAAATATGTCCCTGGCTTAGAATGCATTCTTGCAATTCACTGTTCCAAGATCACTGTCATCAATGAACTCTCAACAACCACATTTAATGTCCCCGTCAATTTCCATCTTGCTTACCCCTCTGTTTCCATGGATATTACTGGTCTCTCTTTTCTTCCCCAGTTTTTTATGATGCCGGGTCCTCCTGGTTCTACCCTGACCTTGCTGACTGCTTCAGTTTTGGCTCTTCTTCTCTTATCTAAAAGTAGACCACCTTCCCCTAGAGTCCTGTGCTTGGCCACTTTCTCTTCTCTACTGTCCCTCAGCATTCATATCCACTCCTACTACTCCCACCATTTCCTTTATGCCAATGAGTCCCAAGTCTACGTTTTGGTCACATTCTGAGTTTTGATTTCACATTTTCAACTGCCCACTGGGGAACACACCCACATCCACACACTGTTAGCAAAGCTGAGCTCATCTTCCACCAGATGCCAGCTGTCTTGCTTGACCTCACTGTTCTAATGGCTCAGTTTTCAAGCCTGGCTCTTTACAGTTTTCCTTAACTCCCCACTTTCTTCTTCCTTCCCTTTTCCCATTAGCTCTAACTCCTAGAAACGTTCCCTACACAATGTCTCTTAATTCCACCCTCTGTTCCAACCCTCCTCTTCCCAGCTTAATGAAGCTCTAATTCATTCCTATTAGACCATTACAATGACCTCTTAACTAGCCTTCCAGTCTCCAGTTTCTTTTCCAATGATCAAATTTATATACAGAAGGCAGATTACATATTGTATGACACACTTTTGAAATTGCTTAAGAAGTGAAGCAATGGAGAAAATATTCCCCTCTACCTACCAAAATTTAATCTGGGATTCCAGGTTGAGCTAATCTGAGTTTCCTTTTAGAATGTGCATACAACCCAAACTCATCCAATGTTCCCCATTTCTCATTCATTCTCCATTCCTGAGACTTTTTCAAGACTGTTTCTGTCATTCTGTCCAGATCCCTCCTGCCACCCATCTTCACATATTGACATCTGGCTAGTCATCAAAGCTCATGTTTTACTTCCTTTATAAAGCATTCTCTGATTCCTACCCATATCCATGCATGCTCTCATTCCTCATAGCATTTGAGCAAGTTTTCTGTGGCACTTGCCATGTTAATGTCTTATTTCTTTCACTTCTTGTGGTTGAACACCAAATTTAATCCATACTTTTAAGATCAGAAACATTCATTGTAGTACCTTGTATGTACAGAACCAGCGCTTGAGCAACATTTGTTAAAATGCTGAATAAGGGAATAATTCTTTTCTGGGATTTGCTGGATGACCTTCATATTACTCTACTTAACTGATAAAAAATATAAACAAACAAAATTAATATCCCCCCCCAAAAGCAACATTTTAGAACTTGGTAAAATACCTGTCTTGTTTTTATAATAAATAGTTCTCAAGCTGCCAAATTTGTCTCTTAGGGAAACAAAGGATATTTTAAGATCTATGAGGTCTTGGGCAAATTTCCAAGAGGGCATCAAATATCAACTTCCAGATTGAGTTCTCTCTCCTTTTGAATTTCTATTAATGATTTCTGAATTGTGTTTAAATAGCAAGGCTGTGGACAGTATGTACAGTTTTAGCAAGCTGTTGAGTAAATCAAGCCTTCAGTGGAATTATAACTAGGATTAAAATAGTTTAATGTTGGAAGAACAAACTAAATTGTAGCCCCTAGCTCTAGTCGATGAAATTTATCAAAGTATAACACCACATCTTAAAAATATCTCCCAAACCTTGGCTAAAACAAAGCTTAGCGTCGACCTATATTTTCTTGAACTAAAAATCAACTGTTTGAAGAAAATGCTTAGATTAGCTAGCAGCCACCTTATTTCCATATGGCAGGCTAAGGACTCAGTCTGAAATCCTTCTGAATTGATGGATTTCAGAAGGAAATGGAAACAAGGACAAAAGCCTTTCATTTGGTTTAAAAAGAACCACAATGAATTGCATTCCTTGCAAATTTCTAGTTCTCTACCACTTGTAAAAACATGGTCTTCTAAAGATGCCACTTTCCATTCCTGAGCTTGATAGAGGAAGTGGGGCTGGAAGAGAAGAAATATTTTAGGTGAGAAGTGGAAAATAGGAAGGACTGAGCCTCTGTGTGGGCAAGCACAGTAAGTAGGTTGGGCTTGAAAGAAGAGAAATGTAGTTTAAGAGTATGCAAATGTATTGGGAACAAAAGAAGAGGGCTAGGGATGGCTCAGCTGCAGAGTTCTTGGCTCCGTGTGCAAGGCCCTGGGTTCCATCCCCAGCACAGCAGGTGGACCACACAGTTTCCTTAGCCAGCCTGCCCTGGTCAGGCTCAATCAGAGTCAATAAGGCTCCCCCAGATTAGCAAATTGGGGCTTGGTGCTAATGTCTTCAACACTCCATGAGTCTCATTTATGACCCTGGGAAACAAACTAGATAAAAAGGTGAGCAAATTTGGTCACAGCTGCAAGGAGCTTGAAACCTAGCAAAAAAAGCTCATAAGTACATGAAGCAGAATGAGGTAATTCCCAGAATGAAAGCTTCAATTAGGAAGGGCCTTTCCAACAGGCTTCGTGTAGGAGACAGCATTTCCACATTTATCACAGTGAAATATCAAGTTAACATCATTTTAGATAAGGTTGAGGGAAAGCAAACAGGCTGGAAAAGAGGAGGAATGTGGCCTGCCTTTCACATGCACATCTCCGTGTTGCAGAGACAAGTAGGTAAACAAGGCTAGATGGGTGGACTGGATCTTGAAAGATGGCAAATGCATTCTATGTGCTCCACTTTTCCATCTTCAGAGGTGCTGGAGTATGAAGCAAATACCGCTGTCATTATTTTAGAAAAATTAGTCTCAAGTAGATGAGATCAGTAGTGAGAGACTGATAATGGGAAACCACATGAGGATGCTAGCAGCAGTTTGCCAATAAGAAGCCTAGAGAAACCATAAAATCCAGAGTGAGTGAATCTACTAGCCCTCTGTCTTTAAACTACAATGCCAATTAGTCCAAAGTGTTCAGCTGGTGCAAAATGAGCCTACATCTACTTCTAAAATTTATTTCGCAAAGCCACATCTCCTCTATCCTATGTCCCCCAATATTTTTTTTTTTTTGCTTGTGGGTGTGACTTGGGAGGGTTAGGTATACAGGTCCCATTATCCAGTCTCCGTATTACAATAAATAAATCACAGCATTCTTCTAAGTTTTTATAATATCAATAGTAACAACAGCCAACCATACTGCTTATGGTCAGGCATTTTGTAAGTGCTTCAAGTACAAAAAATATGTATTCTCACAACAATGCTGGAGGTGGTTATGATAATTATGATCACTATTTTCCAGATGAGAAGACTGAAACTCAGAGAGTTTAGGTAACTTGCCTATGTTTTTATAGAATCTGAGGTGGGGATGGGCTTCCAAGTTGCTTTTCACTTCAAATTTTCTTTCCCTTGTTTTCCTTATTCCAATTCCTGCTTCCAAGATAACACTAGACCCTGAGGAATGCTGCTCTGCCTTTAAAACTAGGACAATAGACCAGAACCAACTTCCATTTCTCAAATTACAAAGACCAAGTAATTAAGTCCATGAGGGATATATAGGGTTAAAGGTGTAACTTCAGGTGAGTGTTCAGCTTCTTATACCTGTTTCCTGATCCCCTCCAGCATCTAAAGATGCAGCTTCAACAGACCACCCTCCCCTGCTCCATACACCTCATCTTTGCCCTCTGTTTCATAGGGCAGGACAGGGACTCATTTCCTCAAAGGTCCAATTGGAGAATTTTATAATACTGAATTACATTTTGTTATATTGGGCACAGAGCTTTCACATATTAACCTTTTTGGATCCTGAATCTGTCTTCCAAAATAGTGTTGACCCTCTCAGTGTATGTTCATCTGCAAATACTGTAAACCCTGCCTTCCTTAGCTCTCCTAAGCTTTTGGAAATTGAAGAAAGCATACTGCAAAGCCCTGTGGTACTCCACTAGGGACCTCCTCCTTGGTGGACACTGTTTACTGGTTTAGATATTTATTCATGCAATTCATTAGAATGGATACCTGCCATTGTGGAAGCTAGAGGGCTCCAAATAGGTTTCTTGGCCTGAAGAATATAATGATCAGAAACCATCTTTTTGATGAGGCTATTCAACTAGCTATAAATAAACCTAATCAGAGGGTCAGCCACATGCATGTTTCCATATGCTCCCTGCAAAAGATATGATTTTGTCCAAAGCCAAAAGAGAAATATTATATGTATGCATTCATCTGTTGACAGCTAAAACTAAAAAATTAATTTGGATTACCTCTGGGCCACCTGTTGATCGTCCTGTTTTCCATCCTCAGTGCTCATAAACTAGTCTCAATTTTACTAACAATGGGTATCAAGATTACCAGCTTTAAAAAAAAAAAAAAAAAAACATACCCTCTTCCTCACTGTGCTAACCAGGACACTGGTGGGCCATCTTCAGGCCTGTGCCCCCTTATTGGAGTCTGAGACTCATCAACAGGACTCCAGCTCATCTGCAGAAATTCAGTCTCATTTGCCACTTTTGTCACTATAGAGAAATGTAGACTCTCGACCTCATTCAAGCACTTGAACTGTCTACTTTCCTACCTTGGGCTCTCGCATCCTTCTGAACCACGTTTACCTTACCCTTCTCAGCCGAAAGCTCTCTATCCTTGACTGAGAGGATTTCTGCTTGTGCATCATGCGGAATACTACATCACACACAATCTGTTCGAATCTTCAGGCTTATCCTCTCCTATTCTTGCTCTAATAGTTTTTAAAACCCTTGTTGTCCTTAACCTTTTTCATAGGCCTAAGTACAGCCTGGAATGTGCTTTTCATGGCACTAACTCATGCCAGGTTTTAGTATTCTCACATTCCTGGAAGTTTTATTCCAATATACTTAGGTCCTCTTCTGACCACATTGACCTAATATTCTGACCACATTGCAAGCTTATTGCATATCAG